GTCCCAGCTACTCAGGAGGCTGAGGCAAGAGAATCACCTAAGCCCAGGAGTTGGAGGTTGCTGTGAGCTGTGATGCCACGGCACTCTACCGAGGGTGATAAAGTGAGACTATGTCTCTAACATAAAAAAAAGAGGGCAGCACCTGTGGCTCAGTGAGTAGGGTGCTGGCCCCACATACCTAGGGTAGCTGGTTCGAACCCAGCCCCGGCCAAACTGCAAAAACAACAACAAAAAAATAAAATAAAATAAAATTGACCCCAGGGGAAAAAAAAAAGAATAATGAGAGCTAATGTGATTCAACATTATAACCTGCTGGTTAGTGTTTTATATACCTCACATGGATTAACTCATTGAATTCTCACAAAAATCCCATGATCTAGGGTCTGCTTTTGTCTCCATTGTACAGATGAGGAAACTGAGGCCCAAAGAAGGTGTGCAACTTGCCTGACAGCCAGTTTTTTTTAACTGTGGGAGATACAGGTTGCTGACTATTTAGTCTTGGGACCTGGATTCAAGTCCCTAGCTCTCCTCACTCTGTGACCTCAGGCAAATTGTTTCATTTCTTCTTTTTTTTTTTTTTTGAGACAGTCTCATTATGTCACCCTCAGTAGAGTGCTTTGGTGTCACAGCTCACAGCAACCTCAAACTCTTGGGCTTAAAAGGGATTCTCTTGCCTCAGCCTCCCAAGTAGCTGGGACTATAGGCACCTGCCATAATGCCTGACTAGTTTTTTTGGTTGGCCTGGGCCCATTTTGAACCCACTAGCCTTGGTGCATGTGGCTGGTGCGTAACCACTGTGCTACGGGCCCTGAGCCATGTTTCATTTCTTTAAATCTGTTTTCTCATCTGTCCTTTGGGACTAATGACATCTAAGCCCAGGGATGTTGTGAAAATTTCATGACATAATGTCTGCAAAAGTGCTCTGTCAACATGTAGGTGTTTGTGTAAAGGGAGGGATTTGTGTTTTTATTACTGGCTGATGATTCTGTGGGCTTTCTTATGATCAAGTGACGCCAAGGAAGTCATATTTGGTTCAGTTATCCCAGTTGCTGTGGGAACAGAGAGACTGGAGCCAGAAGAGACAGGACATGGAGGGGTAGAAACCAGAGAGGTGAGGCAGAGGATTCTCTGTCCTGGGAGAGACGGAGTATTACAGAGAGACTGGAGGCAGAAGAGATAGGACATGGGGGGTTGGAAACCAGAGAGGTGAGGCAGAGGATTCTCTGGCCTGGGAGAGACGGAGTATTCTTGTGCCCAAAGAAGGTACAACTTGCATTTCAGTTAGGATGTCCAGCTTTGATGTTATATCCTCTTGGGATATTGGAGGGATCCCCACCCTTAGGAATCAGACATGGAATTAGAGACAGCTATAGACATTGTCAACACAGGGATAGGACCTGTAGACTTGGGAGTAGATGATGGATTCATGTGTTCATTCATTTGTTCATTTATTCAACAATTATTTATTAAGTGCCTTCCAAAAGTGAACCGTTATTTTAAGTACTGAGGCTGCATAGCAGTGGATAACACGTGTAGACAAGTATTCAGTTGTGTGGAGCTTTCATGTCAGCAGGGAAAGACTGACACGTCAAGAAGGAAAACATGTCAGATGATGAGTGCTATGGAGGAAATTAAACTATTCAGGGAAATGGGAGTGCCTCAGCTAGGTATAGGCTGTGGCAAGAGGTTTTTCTTTTTGAGACAGAGTCTTACTTTATCACCCTCGGTAGAGTGCTGTAGTGTCACAGCTCACAGCAACCTCCAACTCTTGGGCTTAGGCAATTCTCTTGCCTCAGCCTCCCGAGTAGCTGGGACTACAGGTGCCAGCCACAATGTCTAGCTGTTTTTTATTACAGTTGTCATTGCTTACCTGGCCAGTCTGGGTTCAAACCCACCAGCCTTGGTGCAAGTGGCTGGCACTGTAACCACTGTGCTACAGGTGTCAAGCCAGAAGATGACATTTAAACAAATGAGCTACACATATTTCTGGGGGGAAGACAAAGACTCTTAAGTGGGCTTGTGCCTCACATGTTGGAGGACAGGAGGGAGGCCAATATGGCTGGGTGGAGTTAGCTGGGATTGGGGGAGAAGGGGCTAATGGAGTAGGTGTGGACATCCCTCAAACACCTAGGGTCTGGAAAACCATTGTAAGTACTTAAGCTTTTACACTGGGTGAGACAGGAGCTACTGGAGGGCTCTGGGCAGGGAAGAGACACAGTCTGACTTAGGTCTTCACAGGATCCTGTTAGTTCCACGTTGAGAATAAATTGCAAGGGTCGAGCACGAGGGTTTATGCCAGTAATCCTAGTACTCTGGGAGGCTGAAGCTAGTGGATTGCTTGAGCTTAGGAGTTTAAGACCAGTCTGAGCTAAGAGTGATATCTCATCTCTACTAAAAATAGAAAAGCTGGCTTGGTGCCTGTGGCTCAAGCAGCTAGGGCGCCAGCCACATACACCTAAGGTGGAGGGTTCGAATCTAGCCTGGGCC